TTCACGCTCCAACCATAGACAAAACTAGCCACTGTTGTCCCTCTGGCTATGGGAAGGCTGTTCATGGTTGAACCCATAATACTTATGCAACATGGCTAGCGGTCATGAATATCATCATCCTTCTATACAAAGGGACAAAGTTACCGATTGACGGTAATCCCAATTTATAACATATCTCTTTTATATTTTATGTATTAGCAGGTATCGTCAGCCAACGAAACTTGGCCCGAGATAACGATATCGCAATGCATACCCATGTTGTCTATTCTCTATTCTGGCGCAATACCAACCATATATTGCAACAATATATTAGCACTTGCAACAGTTGGTGAATAAGTGGGAACAGCGCATATTTGCCCACATGGTCCTTTTCAACATATAAAGGAGTTCCCTTCTTTGCTGTCGTATATTCACATATTGCTTGTATTTAAGATACTCAAATATATGCTCATATGAACTTTGTTATTATCGCAGATAAATGCAAGATCGTGAATCCAAGCTCACAGGAATTACTCGAAATAAACAATGGGAGTAGTGGCTTGGTAGGCATGGATGGGTGAACGTTGCCTGTTTGGCGAAGCAAGGCATTCGCATTGACGATGTTGTCCGACTTCACCAGAAAAGGCTTGGTGGCGAAGGTGTGGAAGTAAACTTAATTCCTGGAACAATACTCTTTGGTGCTAACCAGAGGTTGGAAATCCCGTTGAAGACTAGCTGGAAATGCCACTTGAGTCACCATCAATAACTTGCAGCCATATTTAATGCAAGGCTGATTGCACAAGTTTTACGGCCTTGGAAACTGCTATGGAAGATCACTATTTGCTTGCAAAATCTCCCAAAATCCCGTATAGAGCCTGGGGAACTTACCAAATCACTATGCAGGTGGTGTTTTTGCTAGATGCACTCAAGCACCCCACCAAAAACAGAGTTTTGTATGGCTGGGAGAATTTCCAATAATGGACAGTTTCCAGCCCATCGTTGGGACCAACGAAGCTTCGCTAGAATCGACGGGCAACTCATGATGCCAATGCCAAAGTAGCCGTTAACAGTGCCCAGAACCACTCTAAGCTTGACAGTTCATCTGAACCCATCTGCACATCTCTGACCTATTGAGTAGGATTACAAAAATACCTCTGGTTGTATATATTATCCCTCCCTTGCTATTTAGAAAGGGGGACGCGGAACATCCCAAGAAATCCTTTTACGATACCAGCCTTCCTCTCACACACTAGACTCCCATTTTCTCCCCTTGTAAAAATACTTCACCTTCAATGCATCACCCTGTACGCTAAAATCTACCTAGAAACCATCATTTTTCTACACCTTCAACACTGTAGAAAATTTTCCAGCATCGCAAAGCATTCTCAGATTTGTAGAATATTATGGCTGGGAAATAGCATGTTGCAGTTCCAACTCATGTGTAATTTTTCTTGAGCATCAAACGATCAAGCCGCATGGTTA